CCCAGATGCAAAGACAGACTACATAAAACTGAGAATTTTGTAATGAAAAGTTAAAAAGTTTTCACATGCAGAATTTTTCAATCCACAGATAAACTGTAGCTAAATTTAGAAGTGATAATTTTCTTTTGGGCAGTCATTGTTCATTTTAAACAGATATTAAATGAATGGATCTTGTTAGCATGTGTTAAATACAACAGGAAATAGAAAGTTTTTGCTTACTGTGACTGTAATTGCAGAAGACTAAAAAGAGATATTGTAATGATAAACTATTAACAAAAAATAATAAAGCAGTCATAGACCAAAACTATGGATTATACAACAGGTATAAAATTAATGTTGTGTAGAAAATAGCTTGGTTTCCTGGGGTGAACAGTACATCAGATTGTTGCCTAATTTTTTTTTTCACTTTTGCAGCTAGTTCCTAGATGTTAGGAGAGTTTAAAATCTGAATCTCCTGTTTACTTGATGAAAGGTCATGATTTCTTGTATTTCCTCTGAATAAGATAATTCCATTTCTCTCTACAGTTTATAAAGAATAGCAATATACTTTATGGAAACTGCAAATCTTTAAGATATTTTGTCCATATAATCTTACCTATATGTTATTTGTTTGTGAGTTTAACTAATTCTGGTCAACAGTGTGCCTCATGATGTAACCTGTACATATACTGTGCTTTCCTACCCAAGAACACGCTTATACAGTGCAATTTCAATCTCTTCTAAATTGCATTGATAACCTAGAAGCCATTTTCTCATTTCCTTCAGTTCTGAGGAAATGATGGTATATTGTAGGATTCCACTTGCATAAAATAATTTAAAATTATTGTAAATTCAAAAAATGCATCTAGAGGTAGTTCCCACTTACAGCAATCCACTGAATTAATTACCTGTTTTGATGAGTAACAAAACGATATTATGAGAAAGGTCTACCTGTGAAACATAAACCACAGGACAAAACTCTCCAGTTTGATGCAGACATTGCAGACAGCCTTGAACAGGATGCAGGTACATACTGTGAAGATTGGTGTTCGACAGTATGTTCTAACAGTTTGAGGGAAATCTTCATTATGTTGGTGGGTTTCCTTGCACGTTTGATTTTAACAATAATGTGCACTGGAATTTCTGTGAAGGATATCTCTCAGAGTTCTTGATTTTAAAAGGACTCTTGAAGAGAAGATAATGGTCACAGTGTTTTTTATAACCTATGCCTATCAGGCTGTCTGGTGTTTATTAGTCTGTGTGATCATCAGGAATTAATTTCAAGGCTTTAAGGGAGAAAGCAACAAGAAGCATAACTGCAGTGCAACTTCTTTGAGGGATCCTAAATCTCAGAGGGATTTTAGTCCTTTTCTCAGAGTACAATGAAATACAACATTGACAAAGATAACAACCACTAAGCAAATCCAAAGAAACCAACTTATTCAGCAGTTGACTGGAGATACAGAATATAGAGCCACCAAATTGACTTGCTTATTTCACATGGGGAGGGAACTGGATACCAGAGATTTAAGCCATGTTCCCATCTAGCAGGAAATATGGGAAGTATGGCCTTGCAGTTTGGAAACTGCAAAATTTGAATGGATCTCAGAAACTAAGGAAGCTAAAATCAGAGTTCTAAGGCTTAGCTGGCCAATTTGAATGTCTAGGCAACCATACTTCAGTTATGATTTGATTATGGACCCTGAAAATTCTTCGTGGCTCACAACCTAGCATGGATTCCTTTCCATTCAGAGCACTAGGATATATATCAGCAACAAGAAGGACATATATCAGAAGAATGATAAGATGCATGGGATAAAGAGATTTGAAGATGCTAACAAAGACTGGGTATTCAGTTACTTCAAAGAGAAAAGAAAGTCTGAAGCACCATACTAAGTTGTCTATTTCACAAACAAGCAGGGAAGACTTTCTTGGTGCTGGTCCTGTTTTACCTTTTGCTCTTAGTATCAGTAGTATCTGGCAATATAATGACACACTTAGGATGATTTTTAGGAAAAAAAGTAAATCTGAAGCAATAAGTAGTGATAGAAAAGAATACCTCCACCATCAAAAAGACATACAGCTGCCACCAAGCCCGATACATTTAGCCTGGTTTCCCTGTGCAGATTTAATTCCATCATGGAATGAACAAGTTACCTGACTGGGTTTAAACCACGACAATAGGATATACAGATTTTGAGTCTCAAGATTAACTCCATCATGACACATTTTAACTAACTCTAAGCAGACAGTTGTTAACAGTAAATTAATGAAGAATGTCAATGAAGAAGATAATTTGTAATAAAAATTACTTAGTATTTAATCAGAAGAAAACCTTGAAACTAAAACAGCACTTTTTGGGGGGGGGTATTCTTGGGTTTGGTTATTTTTTTTTTTGGTGGTGTGATGTTCTAAGGCATGAATCAGAATTGCAGAATTAAATTTTATTGTCATAAAAGCATGCTTGGAGATCTTAAGGCTACAACAAACTCTTGGGTGTTAAGCTTGCATACATACCTTACATATACTCTTGTTCCTTCACCCAAGAACAGGTTTCAGCCCTACGAAAAATAAATACAATATGCTAAATCTGCTACAGACTTCATAGGTGTGCCACACACAGAATCAGGCAAACATCTGAGGAAAGCAGGTATATCCACTATTCCTCAGGGAGCATATTAAGATAGATAGCTCTCTGTCACAATGACAGCAAATTGAGATTCTTTTCTATCAAAAGACTTCATCATATTTAGGATATGGCTTACATTATGGAAGAACTTCTGGCAATAACCATGAAGAAAAATAATTTTATTCATCGTGATTACTGCCAGGGATTCTTCAATTATGTAAACAACAGCTCATAGGAATTCAGGCATCCAAAGCTTCAAAATAGCTTTGAGAGCAGACAGCAACTGACTTTGCTGAATGCAAACTCGTCATATAAACCTCTTGACAGTTATTATTCTAAGAAGCACCACGCCTCTGCCTTTGCCTGCATAGACTACAAAGTGCATGAAAGATATTGAAAGAGCCTAAGAAGTTGCCGGGGGGGCATGCAAAATTATTCAGACTTTTTTGAATCAGTGGTAAAGTACTTTGACTAATCCTAGAGATGTGCTTGCTATTCTAAACTCACTCAAATGTCCTTTTAAAATAGTAATAAGAATTTAACTTTGAATTTAGATAGCATCACACACATTAAAATATCATAAGAAAACAGCAGTAGTCTGTATACCCTATTCAGTTTCAACTGTGGTCAAATTAAAACAGGTGGGGCTCCCTGAAATTAATATTTTTGGTCTATAAAAGACTACTTCTAAGCACTTGTTTTTAGTGAGAAACTGTGCTGTCTTTATTTGGAGATCATATATGCCCAGATTTTAGTATTTGGTCTGAAAAGCAGAAGAAACAATTCATAGCACACAAAAAAAGGCCAATTCATCACCAAGTAAGTTTTTCCAACAGCACATGAGATTTGGATGACAACACTCTTAACACTTCACTAATAATTACTCATTATGTCTTAGTAGAACATAATATAATAAAACCTATTTTTTCAAGACTTTTTTGTTAATCTTTTTTTAACATCATGTACTTTACATTGCCTCTTCAAATCAGATATTAGTGAGTTTCTTTCCTTCCAGATACATATTAAAGGGTTTTATTCCTTTTGATTCCTGTCCTGGGAAAAGAATCTACCAGCCTGTTAGCTTCCTTAGTACTGCCTGTATAACAAAAGTGGCATATATAGAAGGCCTTATTTTTTTTCTTACCTCTACTCCAAAGATGCTGTAAGAACCTGCAATTTCTGTTAATTTCCTTGGGTATTGCAGGTGTTCAGTAGCTCTAAGGATTGAATGTACTGGGACCGAACAAAGGTGAGAAACTCAGTGGATCCATGGAGCTAATAAGGACTGTGAGTCCTAAAATAGACAGCAGTGAACATCCATCACCAAAAAACCCCAGTATTTCTTCCTAGCGAACACATCATGAAAGATGTCACCTGTTAGAAAAATACCTTACTTCTCTATTCTTGAGTGGCCATGTTCACAAGCTCTCACATTTTGCAGACTGAAACAGAGTAAGATTTGTTCCTACTCACGTCTGAATTTCAGTCTGATTCCCATGACTATTACTGTCACTATACAGCTAACATAAAAATATTTTCTGTTATTCTCATCTTCTGCCCACCAAAGTTGCATTCTCCCCTTTTCTGTGTTGTATTTTATTACTTATTTGTTGTCTTTCTTTATGAGCGCTGGTAGTTAATTATGTTTTATGTATGCTAGAAAATTCTAATAAAAGCACTAGGACTTGGAATAGAAACTTTTTTTTAATTGATGGAAAATCTGCAAGTTTAATTAGGTTACCCATTGAGAGAAATGCATCAACAAATACATTTCCCACACATGAATGCAGTACAGTGAACGAGAAACTGCCTAGCAAGTTTCAATTCACTTAAGTACCAAATTAGTTCTACCCAACACATTTTGGCTAGATAATAGCTTTCTGATACAACGCAAGGACTACAGACTGAACCCCAGCAGGGCAGCTGATTCCTAAGTATTGGGAAATCTCCCACTGTGTTAGAGCACACACATTTTTTTCTTCCAGAGTGACAGGCAAAGAAGTGCACGCCAGGAACATCCCTGAAGGAAGAAGGGGTCAATCCAAAACTGCTCTTTGCAGGTAGTTAATGTCTAGGCTCTTCTATTTTGCTCTATAAGAAGGTGGTCTTGAAGATGTGAAGAGTAGGGAAGTACAAAGATCTTATTTAGTGTATGAATCTCCTCTTTACAGTGCAGGTTATTTTTCTGTTTTTACTATGCACCATCTGAATCCAGAAAAGAGAAAGTTGAGGCTACTCTGAGACTTCTGGTGCCAACCCCTGGTAAAAATTAGGAAGGTATGATCTTGTGATTAGAAATAGCATGAGAAAGGGTATCGATACTTAGTATAATGCTTTAAAAAGAAGAAACATAAAAAATTACTTTAACATAATAATCACATAATATGGGTCATAAATTTTATAATAAAGCTAGATGTGCAACATTTTAATAATGGACATAAGGAAGGAAAGGTATTTTTAAAGGAGATATTTATTTCTCATGATTCAAAGAGGCATTGCACTTTTTCCTTTTGCAGCTGAAAAGCAGTTTTCTTGACGAATCAGCTAAAAATAACAGAATAAAATGAGGAAAGAGCAGTATCAGTTCAGAGATTTCAAACTGTCTGCACTTTGCTTCCACTTAAAAACATGACTGTTTCTTCAGAGCAATAACTGCACAGCATCTGGGGGATTTCACGGGATCAAATAACTTCACAAGTCCAGACCAGGCAATGTTTTCCTGTAAAATGATATATGTTTGAAGTACATGAAAATGTGTTTGACTTAAAAGCTAAGACATGGTATTAGGTCCACATTTTGAAATACAAAATTAAAAGAAAAAATAAATCCTTGATGCGAAACAGGAAAAACACTAACAAGAAAATCACAGGAAGTTTGTTGTGAAAAAAGAACACCCAAACCAGGATATATTTTCAAGTCACTAAATTATTTCTGGCACTATCAAATGTTAGCTTACCGCCCCCTTTACCAATTAAGGTTTTTTTTTTTGTTTCACTATAGCAAAAAAAAATTAAGGACCAAGTCCTACTCATTTTATGCAGCACATTCTACTACTGAAGCTAATTAACTGACTTTTCAAATGAATCAGGCCAGCTGGATCCAGTCTTCCTGTTGCATATGGCTTTTATCATTTCTATTTTTTCTTCCTAAACACGTTTTGTGAATCAACCAGTCCAAGATTAAATCAATGCATATATTACATTTAGAAAAGGTAAATTAGCGCTTAACGCAGCAAGTCTGATTTCCCATCTAAGAAATCATACAGATCTCTATGTGATTTAGAACTGGTTGGGAAAAAACATCATTTGGGAATACATATTTGGGAAAATACATCATTATTTAAATATTTCAAATTATCTCTCTCTAAAAATACCAGTTAGAATAAAAGCATATATTTACTACAATGCAGTCATTCCAAGTGCACCGTGGCAGAAAATATAGTGAGTTTTTACTTATGACAAAATGGAGCTGTTAAAATCAAAGTTTTATGGTGGAAAAACAGAGCTATTCATACAAATGGGTTTAAACTTTATTTTTAAATTATATTTTGACCATGGCCCAGAGCAGAAGCTGGAAGATGCTACCATTTCCTCCTAGTAAATTATTATTTGTCCAGAAAATGTTTCTGGCACAGAGAAAGTATGACTGCTGCTTGTGAGTTAATCAGGCCAAGCTCAAAATTAGTGTTAGAAGAAACACTGTAATATAAATCATTATGGAGTAAATGCAGTAGCATTTCCTTATTATGTCCCAGGTCTACACTTGTAAAATATATCCAGGCTGTACATGTCAAATGTACCTCAGTTGACCCATACAGTTGGAAAAAGTGCACCCTCTTTCATCATTGATCTTAATTAAGAAACAATAAATGAAATCATAAATATTTTGGACCTAATTCAAAATATCTTGAATTGCATGATCTAAATTGTAAGCTTTGGCGTTTGCAGCATAATGTTTGTTTAGCATTTCCAATATTCTTTTTAATTATTAAATATCTCAGTATGTTGTATAAAATGAGATTTGTTGCATATTTAATTAATTTCTTTTTTACTGTCTATTGACTAGTAATTACCATACAATTAAAAGAACATAAACTTTAATGTTGCTGCTTTGCTGAAAATAAAAACATCTGCTGGGCATATGTTTATACATAATGGAATGAATGCTTATACTTTTGCAAATATGATGAGAATAATAATTCTGCAACAGAGACTTTTGGTCTGCAGAGTAATAATTTGGCTGAAATAGTCTCATTTCACTGATGTAGCCTCTAGGTACCGTAAAATATAATGCAAAAAATACCTGCTCCTTGAGGTAGCAAAGACGATCCAGAAGTATCAAAACTTCTATGCAGGGAGCCAGAACAACCTTCAACTGAAAGAAAGATTAGACACTATAATGATTTTGGGAATGAGAGACAATATACTTCCAAATGGCTATACTTCCACAGAACAATTCCAGGAAGGTCAGTCATTTTCCAGTGGTTCTGTTGTACAAATGTCACCTTGCCAATTTTCCCTTTGGGATGGGCATCTTCAAAACAGATTATACTAAAGATCAAAAATATATGGAATGCTGTAAAGCCAGGAAACTATGTTATTTAGTTGGTTTTGAGACAGTGTCCAGCAAGAAAATGATATTACATGAAGCAGAACAATTTTAAAGAGGGAAATAATGAATTTTAATAAAAAGATTTTTTATGAAATAACTGCATGGAGACCAGTCTATGTTTAAAAGGAGACTAACATTTCATTTTTCAGGGTAATAGTCCCTCTTGAAAAAGAATCTTCCATGTGTTCACTTTATTATTTTACTGACACCTAATATAGTTTTGGACTAGGATATGCTCCAGAGTTTGGAAGAGAGTGCTGCTTTGTTTTTGAGATTGCATACCACAGCGTAAGACAGTCCACCTCCACATAAAATTTAACAGGGCTTTGTTCTAGACTAGCACAAATATACAAGGTAATAGTATTAATCCTATAACTTTTACCATATTAAAAGCTTCGAGCTCATTCATTCTGTGCTTGTATTTTTCATAGTAATCCATTATACATCTGTCTGGGAGCTGCAAGGGATTGAAACAAACAAAACAACAAAAAAATGATATCAGAGTTATTCTGGTTACTTTCTCAAGAGAACTTTAAAATTAAATATTTTTTCCTAATTGAAAGTCTCACTACAAAATGAAATCTGTGTTTTGTTTTTCACATTATCACTTTCCTAAGGTTTACAATAATTTTCCATAGGAGTTCCTCAGTTCTCATTTACAACAACTGTTATTCAGACAGCATTTTGTACTGACATGAAATACGGAGATACATTCATTATTCAGAAAGCTCTAGCCATTCTTAACTGTGTATTATACAGTAAAGTGGAGATAACATTCTCATTTCCTTTCTCATATATCTTACCCCCTCTTCACCCCCATCTCAAAGAGATTTATTTAAATAGCTGAGTGGATTCTGGTGTGAGAGTAACATGCATCAGTCAGGACTCCTGGATGGTATTTCACATTAGTAAACCTACTATCAGAATTTCTAAATATTACTTTGTTTCTACATGCCTCAAGTTACCCATCTTTAAAATAAAACTTCCTCTATTTGACGTACTACACGTTCCCCTTCTTCCTGTCCAAATCACCTCATGCAACACTGCCAGCACTGCCACTAGGACTGCAAATGCTACAATTTGGAGCTGAATGTGACAGCTGAAGAACTTGACTAAACCAAATACTCCTTCCCTTAGTTCAGCCCTTAGTGGCCAGTGCACCACAGAGGTAGCTAGAGCTATGAGCATAACTGGCCTTCACAAAGCCTGTTCTTTACAGGGCAACCAGATCACAACATCTTCCAGTTTTTAAAAGTCATGATATCTACTCTTCTGCTCTCCACAGTCCTGGAGGCTAAACAAGACAGTTAGTAACCTGCCAGAGGAAGGGGAAGTAGGTTTACTACCTTACTGGTGATGGAGGCTGCTGGAAAGAGCAGAAGTGAAAGAGCCTGATGTTTTGTCTTCAGTACAAAGTCTTCTTTGTTTACAGTGTGGCTACTCTGTTGCAGCTATGGAAAGAGCTAGTCCAAAACTCATCAGAAAAGTAATGGTATGGCAAACATGTATATGTGGCACTGAAGGACGTGGTTTAATGATGAACTTGGCACTCTTAAATTCACAGTTGGACGCGGTGACCTGAAAAGTGTCTTCCAATCTGAATGATTCTATGGTTCTATAACAAAAGACTAGGGAAGCTGAAGTATTTAATATATTTTTGCACACATTTATTAGAAGAGTCATCTGAGAGCATGTGGCTAATTCAGTTGCAAAGAAGTGAAATCTCAGCATAAAATAAGAAAAAAAAATAGAGAACATTTCTATGAATTAAAAGTTTTCAAATCAGGTATGTATTATGAACTTTATCCTAGGGCAACAAAGAAGGGAATGAAGTTGCCTCAAACTATTTATGACTTATTGTCACTGAAAAGTTCTCAAAGATGGTATGTCAGGTGGCTAGCAGATGTATGCCTTCTATTATAGAGCAGTAAGCTCAAATTCAATACACTGAAAAAAACTGAAAAATAAAGAATTTAAAAGCACTGAAAGATAAGCAGATGAGTTATAGTCAACATGAATTTGTACAGAATAACTCATAAGTCAGTCTCCTTTGCTTGTAAGGAAGCTCAAAGGGTTCAAGACAACAAAAATCAACTTGTTGTCAGATTTTGATTTTAGCAATATTTTGGACACCATTTCACATCATTTCATTAGCAAATTTAAGAAAAATGTTTTAAATTAAACTAATATAATGTGAATAAAGTCTGTTTGAATGACTATAAACAGAGAGTAGTTATTAATGAGTCTTTGAACAATTAAAAAGACCTACTGACTGGAGGTCCATTACAATGCAGTGTTTCCATTAGGAACTCAGAAAATTGAACAAAAACCAAATTAACTAAACCTGCAAATGTGCAACAGGAAGGAACTTAATTGCTGGAACTTAAGAAAACAATTTTCAGAAATTTGAGCACTGATTAGAAGTGAAGTTTGAAACACTGTACAGAAAAGCATAAGGGACTACACTCGGGCAGAAAGAATAGCTGTTCAGGATGGGGAACAGCAAATGACAGTCTGGGAGATACAGCAGTTCACAAGCTGAGTGGGAGTCACAGCTGAGCTACTGAAAAAAACCTCAGTCACCATTCTGCAACATGTATGGGAGAGCAGCCTGTAAAGTGTGGGAAGTAATCCTTCAACTCTGCTTGGCAGTGGCAAAGCTCTAGCTGGAATAGTGCATCCATTTTGGGGCATCAGATTTCAAAGAAACAGTCTGAAAAAGCCCTCAGAGAGAAAAGAGATCAGAGATCTAGAAAACATGACCCATGAAGAAACAAGGAGACAACTGGAACTGATCAGGCTAAATAAGAGAAAATTGAAAGTGGGCATAATCATAGGTTTTACAAGGCTATCACCAAGAATCAGGGAACAGTTTGTTCACTGTGCCTATGGTGAATAGGACAAGACCTAATGGGCTTGCATTGCAGCAAAAAAAAAATTCAGCCAAAAACTGGAAGAAAATTTCTCTCTTTGAGGTTAATTAAGGACTGAGGTTGTCAGTCTCCATCACATGAAACTTTAAGGTTTGACCAATATTTTCCAAGAATTACACAAAATTCTAACTCTGCCTTAAAACAGGGGGATGGTTACAAAAACTTTTGTAGTCTTTCAGCCATATTTTTTAAATTTATAAAGCACTTTTTCCCAGCTATGAAGGCAAAGTTGAATAGCTGATCTGGCAGTACTAATGTGGACTAATAGGACTTCTTTGATCTTGTTGGTATTTCATTTTCAGCAAATCTCTGTAAATATCTAATTTGTTTTTCTCTCCCCCTCTAAGAAGTCAAACAAACTAAAATATATCAGTCATGAGATAAACAAAATAGTTTACTTAACCTCTGCTTTATAAGCTTTTCATTTCAACTGAGACCTACAATGGGTTTAGTATAATGGATTTTTGAAATTACAGGCTATTTGGGATTAAAATACAAAGTTCCATATTATAAAAATGTGATCATGAAACCTTTCTGCTTTTGTTTCCTTTATGTTCTCCATCTTTTAACATGAAGCATTCAAATTAAAAGAAAGCAACCTGTGAAATGTTTGCCAGATGAAAAGCTGTGTCAAAAATGTCTCCTGGATGTTGTCATACTGAAATACTAGGCCCAAATGCTTTTCCACTCCAACCTTGCTTACTACACATTCTGATGTGTATTGATTAGGTACTATTAGATTAGGTATGGACAGATTAGGTACTCTTGCAACTATGCCTCAGTTAAAAGTTTGGTGAGTGAACCAATTCAATGAAACAGCCCAGCAGGAAAAGAGAGAAAGCACCCACCAAAAAGCATTGACAGAAAAAAACAATGAAAAGGGTAACTGGTAGCTAGCTATATTATATGGTCAGTTTACTGGAAGAACACTAAAACCCAGATAACACTGGCTTTGTCTGAAACTGCAAGAGCTTGCCACGTGGTTTCAGTTTTGAAAAGGTTCCCAACCCAATCTTCAGCTGTCTTTTCAAGGCAAAGTAGGAGTAAATTACTGTCTGTACTTTCAGGAAAAGAATTGTACTTACACATGCAAAGCAAGCCCCATTTAGACACTGAAGTTCGCCATGCAAAAGTACTAGGGAGCAGCAAGGTCTCCACTGACCTAGTTATAACTATACCATATCCTGGTGGTGGCACTAAAAGTATACTATGGGCCAGACTCATCTTTTATGACCACTAGGAGACTGTCAACAGAGCCCTGGGAGCATGGTAGATGCTACATGCCTGAGCACACCCTAGTTAGACTGCAATCCCACAAACATTGAGCCCATGACTGAGCATGGGCTAAAAAGAAAATATTCATGCAGAAGGTGCGTGACAAATAGTGATACCACACTTAATGTTTTCCCAGAGAGTATTCTTTCAGAGTCATGCATCTCCCTAGACTAAGAGTATTTTGACTGAATGAAAGTCTGGTTTACTGTCTGACACTGCACATGCCCTACAAAGGGAAGACAGCCTAATAAGGATGCTGTTCCAGCCTGTTTAAACAAACTGCTTTCCCCTGCATTGACTCCACATTTCCATTTCCTTTCTCTTCTTGCACCAGCATTATCATGAACACTAGCAAGAGTATAAGAAAGCAGTCAGACAACCCTTTTAGCAAAGCAGTGTCTAAAATCAGCTTGAAACATTAGGAAAGCAATACCATACAGCAACTTTTTACAATTTTCCCATGACAAAGTTAGTTAAAAATAGCATAATTAATGTAATATAGTGTAAAATAATGTAAAACAGATAATGAAATTACTGAGAAACTTAATTTTATTTAAAACTATGTTTGAAATGCATTTCAAATGAATTCAACCTATATTATTTATATCTAATTGAAATAAAAGTCACGTCTCTTAAGATTCTCTGTCAGATTATGTTATGCTGCCACAACTGGGATAGTATTTTGTCTGTTCAAAAAACAATTATATTTGAAAACAGCATTAAGCACAGACACTTTATAAGCTGAATACAAGTGTTACTTGAGCTTTCATTCAGTATTAAGCAAAGTAACAAACCACGAAATCTGTCAGCTTAAGTTCCTTCTGTCCAAGAAAACAGTAGAGAAAGTCAAATCTTCAACAACTGTAAAATGAATTGAGTGTGTAAATTCATTTAGAGCCTTCATTTTTTGACTGTTTAGACTCAGTTAACTCCATGTTAGAATGCATGGGAAAGTGGAGAGTATTGTTTTGGCTTTGGCTCCATGTTTGTCCTATGGCTGTACACAATAAAAACCATCAAAATTAGAAATAATCTTAGCAAAGATCAGCCAGTTTGAGGTATTCACTGTCATTTAAAGATACCAACACTGAATTTGGTGAGGGGCAGACATTAAGATTGTAAGAACTGTTAGATTGAAAGTCCTCTCTTTTCCAGTTTCTTCAAAAATTCTCCTTTTTAGTTCCTGTATAGTTGTATATAATCAGGTTAGTTCATGTCTTAATGCATTATACAATTCCATTACTGACAG